CCCTCCCCCCACACACCCCACCCATGACTCCTGCAGGCTCTCGGGTGAAACTGAAACTCTCACCTTAGCGCCTAACATTAGTTCTCACTCAGTGACGATCTTTTCAGATTAAAAATCCCTTTGAGGAAATGTATATTCAGATGCCAAGTAAACTGCATCATAGCAGCCCTTCCGCATGTTTGACGCCCACCCCCCCAGCACTGAAATGGGCGAGACAGAAGTGGAAGGTGGTTCTTAAAGAGACAGAGGCCAATTTCAAGGCGTTTAGAAGAGGAAGTGATGAGAAGATAAGTTTATTTTCTATTTAAACATAAAAACAGCATTTTAATAACAACTAAAGGTGATATAGATACTTAATTACAGTATAGTATTTAAATATATGCCTGAGAAACACATAATATTGGCCCTTTAATGTGATTAGACTGGATGTGGATTGGGCCAAAGGGATTAAGTTCACCTGTGGAAATAAGAACTTTATTGTTCTGAACATATGCACACTTTATGAATGTCCTCAAAATGAAGATGAATTTCTTAACAGACTGTCTTTTATCGTGTCTTTTGTGCAAGATAATGCGTCTACTTGCCTTTTTATTGTGGGAGATTTAAATGCAGATGTCTCCAATAATCATTCTCTTTTTGCTAAACATTTAATGCAATTCTGTCACAACAATGGCTTAATTCTTTCTAGTAAGGTGCTTTTGCCTAACAGCAGTTACACCTATCTTAGTGATGCACAGCATACAACCTCATGGTTAGATCATTGTATCTGTACAGCAGATGCTCATGATTCCATTCAAGGTATTTGTGTCAACCATGAATTTGCCACCAGTGATCATATACCATTCTCCTTGTGTGTAAACATGAATTGCATACCTGCTGTTTTGCCTGCAGATACAGATACAAGTATAGGAAAAATAGCGTGGGATAACATGACTGAAAAAGATCTATCAGATTATTTTGATCGTACAAATGACGTTTAGCAATATATATTTACRAAAGGGAACAATCTCTTGCCATGATATGAACTGTAAGGACCAACAACATGGTGTTGAGTTATGTACTTTGTATGGTAATGTAATGATGTGAAGTCCCTCCTTACCCCAAGCAAGCAATTGTACAAAACCAGCTCACATAGCACCAAGCCAGGCTGGAATGACCATGTAAGAGAGCTCCATGCAGAGAAGGGCTCTTAAAGCATGGGTTGATTCAGGTAAACAGAGCCATGGCCCATTGTTTGAATACAAAAAACAGGCAAATGCTAATTTTAAATATGCTTTAAGATTTATAAGGAGAAATGAAAATACTATGAGGTCTGACTCTCTTGCTAGAAAGTTAGGAAATGATAGTGTTAAGGACTTTTGGAAAGAAATTTAAA